AGGAGATCGGTAAAACAGTCCATGTGACATCAGTGGCTCAACTTCAAAAAAATGTATTTAACAATTCTTCTCCCCCGAGTTACGTCTTCCGCCATTTTGGAGAGTACCCAAGAGCGTTGATTACGTTCGGGAGAGAAAGCGCGCGCATGAACGTAATCGGCGTAATCAGCGTTGTTTACACTTAGGGTAAAGCGGATAAGAATTTTTAGAATGATTTCTGAAGGATCATGTGACACTGAAGACTGGAGTAATGACTGCTGAAAATTAAATAGACTAAATAAAACTAAAACCAAATAAATTATATTTTATAATAAATTTTAATAGAAAACTATATAAATTGCAGTAATATTTCACAATATTACCATTTTATTTTTGATCAGATAAATGCAGCCTTGGTCAGCATAAGAGACTTTTAAAAAAATCTTACTGACCATACCGATGAAACTTCTTCATTAATTGTATTACTTTTATTCTCATGACAGTGTGTTTGTTTGGTTTTTTTTTGTCATTTTTTGACACATTTTGTCAATGTGTCACAGCTCATATACATGACAAACTAGTCTGTCTCTTGGTGAAACGGTACCTGTCACAAAAAACATGAAGACAAATACCTCATATTTTCGTTTTGGAGGCTTAATGCAAGGAATATTCCGCATATGTATCACCACATGGAGTTTTGAGGTAATAATGTGCGCTGTGACTCCTGACAGATGTTTTCTTTAATAGATTGTTTTGGTTTTTTATTTGAATCGTGTATGTCACTTACATCTGCAACAGTCTGCCTATCGCTCTTACAATTCAATTTAAACCATATTGCAGTTCTTAATAATGTTACCAGTGAGTAACTTTATTTATTTGCCAGTTTTTACTCACAAGAAAAGAATATCTATTAAGCGTAGCTGAACATCAGAAATGACAAACTTGTGTTCTTTTTCTTTGCAGAGGAAAGGCCGGACTGCTCCAAGGCGAGATGTGAGGTGCAGTTTTCTCCACGCTGCCCTGAGGACTCCATATTGATCGAGGGCTACGCTCCACCAGGTGAATGTTGCCCCCTGCCCAGCCGCTGCGTGTGTAGCCCAGCTGGGTGTCTGAGGAAAGTTTGCCAGCCTGGGCACCTCAACATCCTGGTATCCAAGAGCTCAGGCAAACCTGGCGAGTGCTGTGATCTCTACGAATGCAAACCAGGTAATAAAGTTCAATATTAAGTTGTGTTGTGACGTCTTCGATTCCAACTAGCTAACAGCAACCAAACCAGTATAAACAGGTCTGCGCTAGCAAGGTATAAAGGAATAGTTCTTCAAAATAAGAAAATGTCTATTTTTGACATCCTTGATTTGACTGTGTAAAGGTTCTTCTAAGAGCTTCAACTTTTATGTTCAATGAAAAACAAACAACATACAGTACATGTTTGGAATGACATGAGGATGAGTATATGATGACAGAATTTTCATTTGTGGATGAAATATCCCTCTATGTTGGTTTTTCTAAAATAAAAAGCATGCAGTGTCAACTTTTCTTGCAATATCAAATTCTTTTCCTGCTACAGCAATGGATGGATTGTTGTAGAGTCTTGGGAATCCACACCAGGAACCGGCTAGTTGTAGATTCGAATTCTTTGCAGGTTATCTCAAGATGCTGTCATAGTACCTTAATTTTAATATATCTTCTTCTGTCATGCTGTATTTTGCTACAATATGGCGGCCTTGAGCAGAGATAGGTACTTGGCTTCAACATGACATAAAAAACAACACCAGTAATTCATTTCCCAGTGCACTAAAGAGTGCGATTTCGTGATTTGGGAGTTTGCCAAAGCCTTTGAGACACTCTAAAGCCATGGGCTGTTGAAAATACATGAGTGGTTCTGCTTCCAGAGACAGTTTGGTAGATAGGACAAAAATGCATTCGGTTCGATTTTGTAAAATACACTTTTCTGAAAAACAAGTAAAATTTACATGAACGAGAACATTTTTAATAAAGATTTTTAAAGAATTCATCAGTTCACATTATTCATATGTCATTGAAAGATGATCATAACTTGCCTCTGAAACTGTCAGTTGGATGATGTTAACCTGCTGCAAATGACATTTCATTTTTGTTTTTTGTACTCCAATGTAAACCTACATTGTATAACTTAAGCACTATAAACAGCATGTGTGGACGTTTATGGTGCGATATAACAGGTAAATCGTTTGCTTGGATGAGAGTTTGATGAGGTGTGTTAATTAGAGGCTTTGATGAGAAGTTCTAAATGTTTTATGTCTTGTTTTGTGTTCAGTGTTCAGTGTAGACTGCAGCACAGTAGAGTGTCCACCAGTGAAGCCTGTCCAGTGTCCGGCAGACAGCTATGAGACACAGGTCAGACTGACAGCAGATGGCTGCTGCACCCTTCCTACCAGGTTAGATGTTGCAACTGTCTCACACTCACAATTGAGGTTAGAATGTTACGCATGTCTCATACTCACTTCAGGTTAGCGTTATGTCTATTTGCAAATTAGGTACGGTTGCTACACTCACAATGAAGATTAGACTGTTACATCTGACTGATGCTCACAGTGTAGGTTAGTTTTGCACTGACAACTCAAGTTAGAAGTTACACCTGTCTCACAGTCGCAGTTACACCATTACACTAGTCTCATGCTCACAATTATAATTAGATGTTACACCTGTGTAACTCTCACATTCGTAGTTACACTGTTTCATATGTTTCACATTCACAGTCTATGTTAGATGTTACACCTGTCTCACTCGCACAATTCCAAATAGACCATTATACCTGTCTCATGCTGACAATCCTGATTAGACATTACACGTTTCATCTCTTTCACACTTAAAATTCAGTCTAGGTTAGTCTGACTCACATCTGACTCACTCTCTTTAGACCGTTACACCTGTCTCATGCTCACAATCTTGATTAGATGTTACACCTGTCTCATGCTGGCAATCCAGGTGAGATGTTACATGTTTCATGTTCATAATCCAGTTTAGACATTACACTTGTTAGAGTATAGGTTAGACGTACACCTGTCTCATGCTCACACTCCAGGTTACACGCTTACATCTGTCACACACACACACACAGTCCAGGTTGCACATTTAAACCTGTCTCTCACTCACAGTCTAGGATAGACTTCACACCTGTCTCCTGCTAATAATCCAGGTTAGAGCAAAACAAACAAAAAAAAAGTACAAAAAAAAAAAATATATATTTTTCACTATTTTAGCACTGGTTCTTAAGTCCCAGTGTGTCTCAGACTATTAATATTGTATTATTTCAGCACTGAAAGTTAATAACTTCAGAGTGACAGAAGAGAGTGTTTTGTTGTTATGAATTAGGTATGACAGGCCCCCCGCCAGCATCACTCTCACTCTCACTCTCTCTCTCTCTCTCTTCTACTCAGATGTGAGTGTTTGCCTGGCCTCTGCACCTTCACACAGTGCTCAGCGGGGACTTCCCCACAGGTCGTGTCCCGTGGAGATGGAACACCTGGGAGGTGCTGCGATGTGTTTGAGTGTGTCAACGGTAGGCTCTGTTTTCTGTGTGTCTTAATTAGTGTTTATGTGTAGGTGTTTTGGGAAGGTCGTCTAGTCAGTGGGCAGAACCCTGCCATTAGCTAAAACAGAACATTACCCAAAACACACTACAGAAAATACACACTTTTACTGCATCTGTTTCTCTCTTTCAAAAAATCAATTTGCAGTGTTTTTAATGTTAATTGGATGGGATTTTAATTAATTTTACATTTAATGGCTTTAATAAACCCCAAAAAGACATAGCTTATTATTGTTCCCCAAATTACTCTTTCTGTGTCTCTGCAAGGCATAAGTGAATGTCGGCTGAGCAGTACAGCCGCTCCCTATACACAGTTTGCGTAGGGCACCAACTCCCAGGGGGGCACCATCCCAGTTGCTCAAAAAAAAAAATGTCGTTCTATATTAATATTAAAATTAACATATACATATACATAAATAAAAATCTAAACATGAACATATAGCTATAATTATTAAAAATGCATTTTACGGTGAATGCAGTAGGCTAAGCACACGTGACGCGCCATTCCCGCATCCACTTCCCGCGACCGCTCGCACCTCATGTTTGTGGCTGAATGCAAATGATCATAATTGATGGACAGCTATGCCCGTGAAAAGACATCAGCAATCCGGCGCCGAGAAAAGAAAAAAAGATGAAGCCCGTGCATCACTTTCAGGTACATTCATAATCCTGTGAAACTTTTTTGGCTGTTGACATTAATAACGTGTTTTAATGTCAGTAATAATTTAACCACCAACAGCGCATCTAATATTCTGTCTGACTTTCCATGTTCCCTTACGAAAATTAGCCATGGTTTTACTACGAATAAAACCAAAACTCATGGTTCTTGTAGCCATGGATGGTAACCACAAATGAACCATGGTTTTGTTACTTCAAATAATAGTTTACAAAGAAGTATTAAGATAATATTTTTGTGGTTATAAAATCAGACCTAAGCCAACAACAGCCTTTAAAATAATTGAAAATGGAATATATAAAACAATGAGGCAATAATGATTGGTTGATTAATAATTATATGGTTTCATAACACTGTTAAAATACATAATGTACTACAAAATAAACAATATATGTACATTACATATTATTACAAATGCCTGCAAATGGAGTCAAAAGCCTGGTAATTGCTGCTGTTACACTTACAGTATGATCAAGTCCTTTAATATTGACCAAACATTTAGGCTAATTCAAATATCCACTTAATCTTTAATTTTTGGCCACCTTTTTGCAATAGAAATGCTACAGCCTCTATAATTTCATAAACAAAAACATGTGGACGTCACAACCCTTACAAAAATTAACCATGGTTTTATCGTAGTAAAACTGCTTAGTTTTCTTTTGCGTGATTTGTGTGAATGCTTGAGACTATTAAGTCAATAAGACAACTGTATTAATAAAATAATAGCCATAGGTAACTGTCTAGAGCTACAATTGTAATTTATAAATAATACAATTTAATTACAATTTATTTAATCCATAATATTTGGGGGAGGGGGCACAACAATACAATTCTGCCTAGGGCACCCATTTGGCCAGCAGCGGCCCTGCGTCTGAGTATTGTAGTTAGAGCTACATTAACAGCAATTTTCTGATAATTTCAGAAAATAGCTTTAGCTATGTTGAATTATATTACTATAAATTTGCATATTTAAGAATGTATGCCTTTTTATGCTTATAATTTGAAGTTAATATAATGTAATTGGATCATTTGTATTTTTTATTTATACTGTATGATGGTGAATTAATTTTTCTTCATTTTTGAATTCTTGAAATTAGGTTGCATATTCTTTGTTCTTTATTCTTTCTTTTTCCTTCTTTTTTCTTTTTTTGCTAAATGGAGAGCAAACACTCAAAATAAAGAAGCATAGTCTGGTAAATATATTTATCTGTGCCCTTTTCAAACAAAATGACAACAATGTTACACTTCAAGTTTAATTCACGTCTATTTTTGTGACATCTTGTGTAGAAATGGTGGTACCTAAAAAGAGGCTTAGACTACCATTGCAATTTAAGTATATGTTTGTGTGTGTGAGAAGTGTAGAAGGAAAATGGAACATCTCAACAAGAGACACTCAAATCAATAAAATTCAACACAATTACTGTCAATACAAAATATATATATATATATATATATATATATATATATAAAACACAAAATACATTGTTATTCTACTCTCTATAATGTTATTTTTGAAAGCACTTGTGCCTCTTGTGCACAGCCGTACACAAACACTACACAGTGCTCCCCCACTAATAAAACCTGCGCTGAGAGTTGGGACAGAAAGAGAGAGCTTAACCCCACAGTCACTGTGGACAGAGCTGTGTGCAGGTGGGGGAGAACTCTTTCAGATGAAGAGACTGCAGGCAACAGGTGGACAAAAGCCACAGGAAATCAGCACAAAATCAAAGCTGGAAACATCAGCGAGCACCAGGCCGTATGTCGTGCGTTGGGCCTTTTTCATATTCGTGGATAGACAACCGCCGAGAGGAAGACAACAGAATCAGGGCTCCATCCAAACACAAAGGCTCAGGAGTGGTGCTTTGAATAAAGGGACCCATGAAAACAATCCCACTTCCCCTCTAGTTGTTTATTTCCTTCCTGCTTCACCTATAGCCAGGCCTAGGGCACACAATACATGAAAGACATACCAACAAAGGGAAGCAAAGCGAGTGCGACCCAAGGACTCTCTTTTCCATATTCGTCATTTGGCAAGTCACCTTCCTTTCAAGCACGTATGTATATAAACAAGCTAGCATAAATAGCAGTGTGGTGTGAGGTGCCAGGTTGTGTGTCGTCTTCACAGCGGGCGGCGAAATTAGCCTTAGGCTGATTTGAGAACAAAGCGCTGAGGCCGGAGAGCAGCGCGGGGAGCATCAAAGCTCCGAACAGAAATACAGGCTAATTGAACATCTGGCCACCGGTGGCTGTGTACAGTGTAGAGGCCGGTCTCATATTCCATAGCTGAGGGGATGGGGGAGAACATGAAGGAGCCATGAAAAGAGAAAATGAACTCATCCCCTTGGATGGACAGAAACTGATTAATATTCAAAAGATATCACACGGACGTCATTAGATGAGTGACCTTCTCGAGACTGTCGTGGCATGAACAAATTGACACAACGGATGAATACACTGCAGACGGATGCGAGAAAACCACAAACGGTCACGTTGGCCGATGTTGAAATTCCTCTATTTCATTCTTCTGTGGAACATAAAGACAAAATTTTGATTAATTTATCAGTCACTCCTTTTTTGGAATGGCAGTGAATGGAGACTAAAGCTTTTTAGCTTAAAAAATAAACCAAAACACCATAAAAGTATAAAAATAACCCATAAGAGACAATATCATTGTGTGATGAACATACAGAAATTTAACTAGTTCATCCAAAAATGAAAATTCTGTCATCATTTTGTCATTTATTCTGTCACCTTCATCATTTCTAAACCTGAAGGACTTTATTCTGTGGAACATAAAAGAACATATTTTGAGAAATATCTAATCAAATATTACCAACATTCTTCAAAATATAAGAAAGTCATACAGGTTTGGAACAACCTATTAGGGTGAGTAAATTATGACAGATCTTGCATTTGTTGGGCCAAATATTCCTTTCAGTTGTAATTCACCTGATAATCTTCCCCTCTACCTTGTAGTTGAAGGATCATTGAACCAAGTGAAGTCCAATTCATGAACAAATGATTCAAATGGATCAAGTGAATCTTGTGAACTGGATTAACTGATTTACTATATTAAAAAGATCCAACTCAAAAGAATGATTCGTTCACAAATCAGACACCATACTATTCTCATGAATGTGCCAAAAGAGAGCTTTTTAGTGAATAATTAGATTTCTCTGGTCTGTTTTTTCTGGCAAAGCTATCGTAAGTCTTCAAAAATAGTCCACAAGTTGTATTTACCACCATTTTGGAGTGCGACAGCAAAAGTCCTCATTTACTTTCATTATTTTGTAATGAGTGGCCAGAATATTCTTCAGAATATCTCTTTTTGTGTTCCACTAAAGAAGTAAAGTCATACAGGATTGGAACTACATGAGGGTGAATAGATAATGACAGAATATTCGTTCTGGGTCGAACTATCCCTTTAATTTGATTTACATAATGCTGGGCTGCTGGAAACTGTCTCTATGAATCTTTAATTGGAAGAAGGAGACGGCATCTTTCACTTCTGTCCTCTGTAATGTGTGATAAGATTTATTCAATGCGGCATGCCTTAATGAGGATTTGAGGCTTATTAAATTCAGTTCATATTGTATTTATTTGAAGTTTTTCCCTGTAGATTTGTCACACTGGCACCTCATTGACATGTTGCAAGCTGGCCATTAGCTGGTCCAAGATGGTCTAGATTAGTCTTGTGTAGTCTTGTGTTTTACTGTCAGCATAAACTCGGGACCAGGTTGCAGCTTATTCTGACAAAGAAACAAACAACCTGCCTGTTTAGACGGAAGGAGACCATGTGACTGACATGTAAATTGACCAACTACAATAATAGGCTGACGCAAAAACAAATTGATCACATAATAAGTCTTTTTTTGTTGTTGTTGTTAATTACGTAAAACATTTTAGCAAATGAATAACCGTTTTTTTGTGATTTAATCGCAATTAATCACAATTAAAAACATTATAACAAGTTCTATTTATAAACTTTTTATAAATAATCCTCAAACTATATCATATAAGCAAAGTATATTTTACATAATACTTCTTTAATGGCATCTCTTTACCAAGTATGTAATATTGAGGTCTGAACTGATCTGGATGCCTAGTATAACATATAGTGAGTCATTAAAGAAATTTATGGTCACCATTTTAAACATTTTAATAGACCTAAAGTGTAAACTGTCAAACTACTTTTACATTTTTGTTTTCCCCATTCATTATTATTCCTAAAACCGGCTTGACCACCTTAATCTGTATTTTTTCAGCAGGGCGGTGTAACTACAGGAAACATTAT